AGATAGATGATAGATAGATAGATAGATAGATAGATAGATAGATAGATAGATAGATAGATAGATAGATAGATAGATAGATAGATAGATAGTCCATTTATCTTCATTTAACTTTGGAAAGTCATAGAACCAAAAAGCTTAAGAAAAAAAGTTTCCATAAAGTAATGGAACAAGATCAGAGAAGTAAAGTGAGGAAGGAACAGCTTTTGGTATATTCCTTCCCAAACTCAGCAGGCAATAACCACTCCCAAAATTCCACAATCAGGATGCTGTTTGTGTCTCCACGTGTGTCTTACAGGGAGAGAGGGAAATATTCTACCACTGAAAAACCAGATTTCCTGTAACTACCCAAGCCGGGCCTGTATTACTATGGTATAACCTGTAGAATTCCCCCAGCCCCCATTTGATTTAGAGTACAGGTAGTCCTCAACAGACAACCACAATTGAGCCCAAAATATACATACGTTGCTAAGTGAGACATTTGTGACTTTTGCCCCATTTTACAACCTTTCTTTGCACCGTTGCTAAGTAAATCATTGCAAATGTTAAGTTAGTTACAGGATTGTTAAATGAATCTGGCTTCCCCATTGGTTTCGCTTGTCAGAAAGTTGCAAAAGGTGATCACGTGACCCCGGGACATTGCAATCGTCATAAATGTGAATCAGCTGCCATGCTGCTGAATTTTGAACACAGGACTATGGGGATGCTGCAACAGTCGTAAGTGTGAAAGAGGGTCATGAGTCACTTTTTTCAGTGATGCTAACTTTGAACAGTCACTAAGTGAACTGTTGTAAGCTGTGGACTACCTGTACAGGTAGTCCTTGAGCTACGACCATAATGGAACTTGCCCATCCATCATAGTCAAAACTCATGACAGTTATAAAGCTGTCCAACTCAATTTTACCTTTTTTTTTTGTAATGGTTAAGCAAACTGAAACAGTTTGCCTTCAGAAGGTGTGGGAGCTTCATCACTTGAGATTTTCAAGAAGAGATTAGACTGCCATTTGTCAATTGGTGTAGGGTCTCTTGTTGGAGGGTGGGTTGGACTAGATGACCTACAAGGTCTCTTCCAACTCTGTTAACCTGTGAAATCTGTTAAAACACTGCAGTGTTCCAATAAGATCACACAGATTAGGCCTCCGGATTCCATCTGCCGGTCAATGTCGGCTGGCGACTCCCCGCGGGAGGGCCTTCTCTGTAGCTGCTCCGGCCCTATGGAACGATCTCCCTTTTGAGATCTGGTCCTTTTCTGCCCTTCCGGCCT